TTCAACAGCCTGAGGATCAGCGGGTGCCACTCGCACAGACTGGCCGTGGTGCCAGCAGGCGCGGGGGAGGTGACCACCCTGTTCGCATCTCCCCGCAGCGTACGGAGCTCGCTGACGGGTCTTCCTGGTTAGGAGCTGCCCTGCTTGACTTTCTCACCCTGAGTGGGAACTGCCGGCCTCCGAACGCAACCGTCTTGGTACCATCTTCCGTTCTAGTTTGACTGGCACTTGGTAGGAAATCACGGCATACCTCAGTGTTCCAATAGCAGACTGAAAACTTGGCTTCTGGCGTGCGGTCACCCTTCTTGGCAAGCCCGGTATCTGCCAAAGTTAAATGGCGATGAAGAAGTTTCCCGAAATTCCTGAAAGAGAGAAAGAAGTCATAACTCGCTCCAGCTCACGCGCTACTCAAAGCCCTCGGAAGCTTCACAAATCTGGGCGCTATGACTCCTTTTTCTCTTTGAAATCCTCTGCATGGAGGATTTATTACATTTTCAGGTACAAATGATAACAGAATGGGTATAAATATCGGAGGCTTTGGGGCAACGTAAGCGTGTTCAGCAGCTGGCTGTGGAAACTCTCTCTTGTTCTGTGCCTAGTTACGCTCCATGCCTGGGGTTTCACAGGCGTGTGCTGCAGTTTCGCGGGCTGTGAACTAACTTCTTTCCTTCCAACGCTTAGGTGCTTTGTTGACAGAAATCAAGGATGGAGTTTAAAATTTTATATGAGTAATAGGTTAGCGCTGACTACTGAGCTGAGGGGGTTGTAAGTTCGATAGAATGGATTGCAACGCTCCTGGCAATGGTGAATGTTTTTACTATTACATCTGGTTGGGCTAAACACTATGTTAAAAGCCTTTTTAGTCATACTTTAATATGAAAATCTTACTACTTTTTCATTGTATGTTTACTGACAACAGCCCCTTCCTTATGCCTCTTAAGTTATCACTTTAAGAATGTTTATTAATAAACCTTCCTTGGAAAACAAGAAGTTGAGTAACTGCTTTGTTCCGACTCATCTTCATTCAAACACTTGTGGCCAAACAGTTATATAATACCGAGTAAATCAATAATTCATGATAACGCCCCCATAAACACGGCGTTGCACTTCTTCTCTCTCCTGCCTGCGGGTATGATTCTGGTTGTAAATAGCCACGTGGTGGGTTTGGTGGATCGTGCGTTTTGGGGGGCGGGTTGCAGGGGGCAGAACTGCTGCCTGCGAGTGGAGCTACATCGATTTTAGGGGTCTGACTCAGCGAGCGCTTGTTGCAGAGCTCTCGGTCGCGGGGCTCCATGAAAGGGTGTGCGACAGACAGGGCGTGACAAGTTTAACGCGTGCGGCGGGAGGGTAGCGAGCCCGCCTGCATTCAGCCCAGGCGGCAGTGGTGAGCGGGAGGTGCTTGGCCTTAGACACGAAGGGCAGGAAAAAGCCAAGCTTCAGCCTCAAATCCCAGGCTGGGTTGGAAATGCTGGCAGGAGGGGAAGAATAGTAAATCACTGAACCTGAATCCACTCGAGGCGTGATCCTCGAGACATCCCTAAAACCCTGCAATAGTGGGTTTGTGTTTAACATGGGTTTAAGTATTTTAAGCCGCTGCTCCTAGGCTGGAGGTTCCAGTCACAGTTAACTGAGTACTGAACTGGGAGAAAAATGCTCTTTGAATCTACTTACTTGAAAAAGCAGGGAAGTTCGGAGGAACAGACGCAGCTGCAGTCAGCAAACCTGCTTCTGGCGGCTGTTCCCATGCGTTCCCTTGGTAAGGCCGGTCGGTTCTGCAAAAACAGATCTCGGTGGCTTCGGGATGGCAAGCAGCCCAAAGGCGTTTTCTTCTCAGGGACAGGGTTACCGTTACTAGTTTAGTGTTTGTGTCTTTCGCTCAGCCCAATCTTCCCAGTACCATTCCATTCATGAGCGCGGCCAAGCACGGAGCAGGGTGCCCGGAGAAGCTGGGGAGTCTCCATCCTTGGAGATACGCTGGACACGGCGCAACCGGACGCAGCCTGGCAGCCTGCTCTCAGCAGGGGAGTTGGAGTAGGCAACCTACAGAGCAGGCTTCCACTTCTGCTGTTGTGGTTATTAAAAAAAGGTGTTTTTCTGCTCTTTTGCCAGCTTGGATAATCTGAAAATCTTTTTTTTTTTTCTTCACAGAATAACTCAAATTTTATCACTGCAGCATGGGTCTGATTTTCACTTGGAATGATTTACTTCTGCTAAACTGTTAAGATTTAAGCACATTCAAAAGCTCTCTTTGGATTTGTGATGCTCTCAGAAGCCAAAGCACTGCTTCATTTTCAAGCAGCCTGTGTAGCAGGTTTTACTGGGTGGATGGTTTTATCTTTCCCATTTTTGAGGAAAGCAGGCGGAGAGCAACTCAGGCTGTTATCCCTTTTGCCAGAAGTGAGTGATCAAAGTTCAAGGTTCTGTGTTCTTGAGAGAGGCTGAGGATGCAGGCTCAGGTATCTCTGGAATCCCTCTTATTTATAAAGAATGTGCAAGATCCTGTTTTCCTGAACACAGAGGGCATCAAATAGCTGAGAAGAGTGTTTCGTTTGCAGCTCAAAGCCCTCTTCACCAAGAAAGGGTTTAGATCAAAGAGCTCCCTTTCGGCTTTTTCTTAGGAGTGTGCTCACAGGTATTCTGCTGTCTGGGTCTCCCATCCAGTCCTTGCTCCAGCACACTCACCTCCTGTCTTTCCCCCTCTTTTCTGTTTGGGGCAATACCAGCAGCTTTTGAAGTGTCTCTCCTCCGGCATGGAGACCTGCGTTCAGGAGGAGGTTCTCATCTTTTGGATTCTCTTAAAACAAAAGCAGCACTCGCACCCACCAGCTCTGACCACTGGAATATGGAAACTTCTGTATGATGTGTTCCTGTTCGGGCTGTGAGAGAAGCCGGGACCCTCTAATTAATGTTTCTTTTCAAAATTCACCGAGATTGCGCTGGGGAATGGATCCATCCTTGTGGATTTAAGGCAACTAACTGTAGAAACAGGTATTTCTCTGGTAGCTGCCTTAAAAAGTACTTTCGGAAACTAACACTGGAAAAAGAGCAAAAAGAGCAGAAGTTGGTACCTTTTTCTCTAAGAAATGGAATGGCAAGAGAAACGCATGAAAATGGTTTTTGCTCTGGAGATACAGACTAGATGTTTGACTGAATGCTTTGACTGGAAAAATCAGGCAGTTAATTTCCATGATGACATTTTACAGGAACCAGCTGAAACAGAACCGTGTTAAGGGGGATGGTCTGTTGCTGTTTACCATCGCTCATTCTCGCTTTCCAAAGTAGATCGGTGCAGACTAAGATTTACCTCAAGTTTCCTACATTTGCAGGCGGGGAAACTGCTTTACGGAGGAATAGCAGCAGTTTTGGGTACCTGCAAGATTCAGTGGCAATTTTCCCACTTGATTATGGGGAGAAATCCTTGATCATTCTTAGCTGACTTACCCACTTAAAAAAAAAAATGCATTTGGGCTGTTGAGGTGCTCACACTTCCAGGAACTCCACCTGCAGAACTGCATTTCAGAGAGGAGCGTTTGCTGAGCAGAGCATATGAATAATCGGATCTTTAGGACCTACAGAAGGGGCTGGGTTTAGATCAGTGAATTGTAATAGCTGCTAAAAGCA